CGCTTCGGCATTCAGGCGCAGATGGTCACCACCGACTTCCAGAAGATATTCCCGATGGGAGAGAGGCTCTACATCGGCCTGGCAGGGCTGGCCACGGACGTGCAGACCGTGTAAGTGAGGCCCTCCCGGCCCTGTGTGATCACAGAGGTGTTTCACAATGAACCCTGAGGAGCAGCCTGTGCTGGGTGTAAATGTGTGCGTTTATCCATGGGGAAGGGATCCTGGATGGAATTAGTGGGATATAATGGGGGACCAGTGCTGCTGTTCTTGTCTCCCTCCTGGGAGAGCTTTAAAAACAAACCTGCACGTGAGTTAAGGTCACTACTCACATTTAACCCCAGGAGCTGCATCAGCACTACCTGTCCTAGGTGTGTGTCAGCAGCAGAAGAGCTCAGGGTGAAGGGGAGAGGAAAAGGAATCTGCTCTAATACCAGTTCTCACCTCTTGCAGTGCCCAGAGGCTGAAGTTCAGGCTGAATCTCTACGAGCTGAAGGAAGGGAGGCAGATCAAGCCCCAGACCTTTATGAGCATGGTGTCCAACCTGCTCTATGAGAGAAGGTAACTCTCAGAGCTGCTGTTACACCAGTGCAGGCTGAGGTGGTTGAGCTGATCTGGTTCAAGGTGTGAGACTGAGACAACTGCTGTGGGGTGAAAAAAAGGGACTTGGTAATCTAATGGTTATTGCTTCTTTACAAAATGATGTTGAGTATTGATAAAATAACACTGTAGCAGCACAAGTTTGTCCTGTTTGCCTTGCCAAAACCATTGCAGGATGCTTCTAGGTTGCCCTGAAAGGTTTCCCCACCAAAAGCAGCTGTGGGATGTATTCCTTGTCTGGATGCTTATGTGGGATGTGGAATTGCATCAGGGGGGATTGGATGGGGAGACCTCAGGGTCTGCAGCTTCCTCAGGAGGGGCAACACCAGTCTCTGCTCTAGTGACCAGTGACAGGACCCAGGGAATGGTTGGAGCTCTGCCAGGGGAGGCTTAGGTTGGATCTTAGGAAGAGATTTTTTAGGGAGAGAGTGCTCAGGCATTGGAATGTGCTGCCCAGGGAGGTGGTGGATTCACCATCCCTGGAGGTTTTCAAGCTGAGACTGGATGTGGCACACAGTGCCATGGTCTAGTGACCACGGTAGGGTTGGACTTGATGATCTTGGAGGTCTTTTCCAACCTGGTTGATTGTATGATTCTATATTAGGGAAAGGTTTTTCTCCAGAGGTGTTTGGGCACTGGGACAGGGTTAGGTTGGATATCAGGACAAGGTTCTTCCCCCAGAGGTGTTTGGGCACTGAACAGCTCCCCAGGGCACTGCTCTGAGCTGTGTTTTCTCCACAGGTTTGGCCCTTACTACACAGAACCTGTCATTGCTGGGCTGGACCCCATCACCCACGAGCCCTTCATCTGCTCCCTGGACCTCATCGGTTGCCCCATGATCACTGATGACTTCGTGGTCAGTGGTACCTGCTCTGAGCAGATGTATGGCATGTGTGAGTCCCTCTGGGAGCCTGACATGGTGAGTCAGGGCTGGGATCAGCTTGGGTCCCTGCACTCACCCTCCCCTGCTCACTGCAGGGCCAAGACACGTGGGCTGGGTGAAAAGCTCTGCCTGGTGGAGCTTCCTGAAGGAGCTCGGGAGGACAAGAGGTTTAAACAGCCTGAGGGAACAATCTTGCAGGGTCTTGGGTGGTACTTTGGGGGTTTTTACCTCAACTTAAACAGCTTCTGTCCCCTCTGTTCCCCAGGAACCTGAGCACCTCTTCGAAACCATCTCCCAGGCCATGCTGAACGCAGTGGACAGAGATGCCATATCTGGGATGGGGGTGGTAGTGCACATCATGTAAGTGTTGCTCTCCCTGTAGAGCAGAGGGAGAATTCAACAAGCTCTGCATTAAACTCATTAAGGCATTGATTTCAGGGTATCCCTAACCCTGTCCCTCCCACCAGTATCTCTGGCAATGCTTGGGATTGATTTCAGGGTATCCCTAACCCTGTCCCTCCCACCAGTATCTCTGGCAATGCTTGGGATTGATTTCAGGGTATCCCTAACCCTGTCCCTCCCACCAGTATCTCTGGCAATGCTTTGTCCATCTCAAGGGTTTCATTTCAGTATGATTTGCAGTTTGTGGCTGTTGCTAGAACTGAAGGAGGGAAATGAGTCCTGGAGTTAGACTGTTGCTGCAGGAGGATTCCCTTGGAAATATGCAGGAGCATAGCTCCTCACACATGGGCAGCACTGGCCAAGAGGATGCTGTTTGCCACAGCTGGATGCAGTGTTAACTCCTGGCTCTGCAGCTCATGGTGCTGTTTCCCTGCAGCATCCCAGGAATCCCAGTTTAGGGCACCTGCTGGAGCATCCCTGGGGGGTGGAGCAGGATGGGATTGTCAGTTGGAAGAGTCACCTTAACATCCAGGTGACTCTGCACTAGCACAACCTACCTTTGCACCTTCCTGAGGGAGGGCCAAGCTGCTCCTAGGGATTAACCATGGACTTCTCTCTCTCTTTTTCCCTCCAGAGAGAAAGACAAGATCACCACGAGGACACTGAAGGCTCGTATGGACTAGCCCAGTACAGTTGTTCCTGGGGCAGCCCTTGGGCTGCTCTGGACTTTTTTAAATAAAACTCTATTGTACTGAATTTTCCTGGTCTTGGCCTGAACATGAGGATGAAATCTTCATCCCCAAAGCCAGCAGAAGGAGCTCAGAGGTTTTGATGGGAGCAGAGCTTGACTTTTCCTCTGGGGGCACCTCCACTGACTCCCTCAGTGCACTTGGATGTGAGGGGCTGAGGAACTCACCAGCATCTCCTGCAGACGTGGCCTGCCACATCTCTTTATTCTCAGTGCCAGGAGTTGGTCAAGTCAGTTCTTTCTTAAACCATTTTACAGGCAGGGATAAAAAGGCTCTTGCAGTTGTGATTTGTTGAATCCTGGAATGGTTTGGGTCAAAAGGAACCATAAAGATCATCTCATTCCACCCCCTGCCATGGGCAGAGACACCTCCCACCAGCTCAGGTTGTTCCAAGCCTCATCCAACCTGGCCTGGCACATTCCCAGGGATGTTCAGCCACAGCTTCTCTGGGAAACCTGTGCCAGAGCCTCAGCACCTCACAGGGAGGAATTCCTTCCCAATCTCCAATCTATTCTCAATTTCCAGCCACTCCTCCTGTCCTAGCCCATCTCAGAGTTAACTCAGCCCCTCCTGGTGCAGGGAGAGCTGCCCCTGAGCAGGTTACAGAGCACAGCAGCAGAGAGGAACAGAGGTACACAAAGTTTTAAGTTTATTTTTTCTCTGGTTGGAGACTCATCTTGTAACATGCATGCATTTCAAAACAGTAACAGTGTCTCAAACTGCTCCTAGCAAACAGACAAGCACAGAGGACTTAAAATTCCTATTTAAAAAACAGCAGTGAAAAAACCTAGAATTTTTTTTCTTTTTTTTAATTTTTTTTTTTTAGTTTTTAGATTAAACTTAATTTATTCACATTTTTTTTTCTCAGTTGCACTGATTAGCCCTGCCCACCCTTGTGACCTGTGTGTAACCTGCTTGTTCCACACCACTCAATCCAGCTGCTTTTTTTTTTTTTTGGGGTGGTTGTGCAGCCCAAGAGCAGCACAACTTTGGAGTGGGAACCACTGAAAAAATGATGCTCAGCAGTTGGCTCTGAGCTTTCCCAGCGCTGTTACACAGGAGACTCATCCCAAAGAGCAAGGAAAAAGGGGCAGTGCTGAGGGGGGAAGTGGAGAATGGCTCTGCAGAGGTCAGGGGAGCTCAGGGGGGTTAAGACACACCGTGGGGAGAGGGTTTGGAGCTGTGGTCAGGCTGAATCACTCAGGTGGGGACACATGGACTCCTGCAGGGGCTGTACCACCTCGGGGTGAATCTGTGCAGCTCCAAGGGAGGGGAGAGACTGCATAGTAGTCACAGGGCTGGGAAGTGTCCAGAGACACCAGCCCAACCACCACAGCCCCTGCCCAGAGCCCTCCTGGGGCTGAGACTCCAGTCCTACCTGCTGTCCCCACTGGAGGTGGCTGTGACAGCACTCAGCAGAGCAGGAATTCCCTCCCAGCAAGGAAATAAAGACTCAAGTGGTTTAGTTTTCTTGCTGATGATTCAAACTAGGATGTAGGAGCAGAGTCATCTCTGCAGGTAGAGTCATCCACCTACTGCCCCAGAAGTTCTCCCTGGGGTGAATGTCATGACTTGGGGCTTTGGGAATTAAAACAGGGCGAGCAGAGAGAGCAGAGGGAAGGATCCCAGTGCTCCTTGCTGTGAGGAGTGACCCCACTGCCCCTTGCCATGAGGAGTGACCCCACTTCTCCCTGCCACGGAGTGATCCCACTGCTCCTTGCCCTGCAGATATCCTTACCCACAGCACATTCCAGACCCTCTTCCCAGTACTGGCACCAGGGCTGGGAGCTCCTGGGACCCCCAGAACACCTGGTTCCCATCAAAGGGTGACCCAACCCACTCTGGAGTGGTTTTTTTATTGCACTATTGGAGCAAAACTGTGACTTTGCCTTCCCTCTCCCACTCTTACTAGGCTGTAGGATCTGTCTCAGCTGGGAAGATGGAAATTTCAGCTTCAAAGCAGATTTGAGTTCTTCAATTTGGGTGCAGAGAGACCCTTAGCAGTGAGGATCCTGCAGAGATCCTCAGCAGTGAGGATCCTGCAGAGACCTCAGGATGTGGATCCTGCAGAGACCCTCAGCATTGAGGAACCTGCAGAGACCCTCAGGATGTGGATCCTGCCCAGGGAGACCCTCAGGATGTGGATCCTGCAGCTCACCCCTCACCCAGCCTTCAGGCCCTGCAGAGATGCTGCACACTGATAATTTTATACCTCCAGCTGACCAAATTGCACTGGTTATTATTTTGCTGGCAAACCCTGCATTCTGCTCCAAATCTGAGCCATCTCCCTCCCCTACTGCTCCTCTGTCAGCCCAGGGAGGTCAGGCAAATGCACTTCAGTGTAAAGTGTTCTGCAGGGTCCATGCTACAGACAGAAATATCTACATTCAGCAAACTAGAACTAAATCCACACCAGAAACAGACAACAAACTAGCACAAGCAGTTGTAAAACCAGAATGGGAAGGGTTGGGTTTGCTTCTTTTTTTTTTGCTTTTTAAATACTTGAGTTAAAAAAGTGACCTAAAACAAGATTAAAAACCAAAATGACAAAAAAAAAAAAAAAGGAAAAAAATCCCTTTTAAAAACAAATCAAATATTTGCAGCTTCACTTCTTATTCTGGTAAGAAAAATACTGTCTAGAAACAAAACAAAAAAAGAAATTAGCATTTTTAACGTAATGCTACCTCTCAAAATGTAAACAATATACAAAATGCTTCTGTTAAACAAAGGTACATACCTGGGTAACACATCAGCAAGGGAGAGAACTGCATTTCAGAGCACACACAGTAATGGCAACTCGACAGAAGTGGCAGAACTGGGAGGTGCCAAAGTGAAGACTTTGTGGGACTTCTCAGCTCACCTGAGCCACAAACAGCCAATTCAATCCCAGCAGGAGTTTGGAGTGGCATAGGAAAATCCAGTTAACTGCCCTTTAGCCCTCTGCCTCGTGACTTCTGTGGAGATGCTGCAGGAATTAACTGTATTTTGGGTTTAGTCCTGTCCAGGAGCTGTTATTTTGCTTCATTCTGCTCTCTCTGGGTTGTTTCAGTGGCTCACTGCAGAGTGTCTGCAGTTCCCTCACCTCCTCCTCTCTTCCTCCCCCCTTTTTCCTCTCCTTTCTGCATTCCAACTGAAAGATTAACCACTTTCCCAGCTACTTTTCCCAAAAGGAGAAGGGCAAACTTACCAGGCCAAAGTTGCAGATTCAATGCAGCTTTTTTTTTTTTTTTAAACTGTCAAGAATAAAAAGTGATTGGGATTTAATGTCTAATTGGCAGTAAACATCAAGTGCTTCTTGTTCAAGAGAAAAGCAACCAACATAATGCCCACAGAACTGGTGATGCCCTCCAAGTCCTCCCTTGTTTAAAGTGTTCTCACAGCTGCATTTGTGGCTATACCTTAAGACATGAGACCTTTCAGGCTCCCACACAAGGGTGTTTCAGCCCCCAGGGAACAGGGACTGGACTGGAGGGGCAGGAGAAATTTGTCCCCTAGCAAAGGGAATGAGTCAAAATATTCATATCCTGTTAGAACCCCTAAGGTTTTGGACTTTGTTAAAGACTCTATGTACAGTGCACTGTCAAGGGGTCAGATTTTAGCCCCTCTCTGTCCCCTTCAAAGGTGAGACCTGTGGGATGACTGTTGGGGATGACCAGGACACCAAACCCCCAAACCCACAGTCAGAATCCAGCCCAGAGCTAGAGTTAGTGGAGGGAAATTACCAGGATGTGATGAGCACCAGTTATCTCTCAAAAGGACCAAATTCCACACAGCAAACTGTAGCACGTGTTACAGCACAGGACAGACATTCCAAACAGCTTATTCCCCAAACAAAGGCATATGTGAAAACAGTTTCAAGGCAGATAAGCAACATGTTTCAACTGCAAGAGGTTTGTTCAAAACTCTAAATCCTGCTTGAAAAGAAAGAGAAAATTAAAACCAAAAGAACTAAAAAGGGTCTGGAACTTGTGCAGCAGAGCTAACAGAACCCAAAGCAAGCCTGACAAGCTTGGCTGTGAAAAGTATTACAAGCACTCTGGAGACAAAACAGGACATTATTCAGTCACATAAATCGGTTCCAAATCCTTAGAAAGGGGGGGGGGAATATGGAAAATCATCTGGAGCAAGTGTTCCAACAATTTCCACTCCTTGACTGTCGCTCTAGAGAGAGGTTTGGAGCAGAGAGAAGAGTCAAACCAAGCACAGCTCAAGTGTTGAGTCCTCCTGAGCAGTGGGTTTGCTCCACAGTCACAGCTCCCAGCACTCCCCACCGGCAGCGAGTCCAGTTCCTTCGTGTGCAAGTCACATTGCCATGGAAAAAAAAAAGAGACCAACTAAGCCAAGAACCTCTGTCAGGAAACAAATTCAAGTACCTGTTGCAGATGGGGTGAGGAAGGAAGACTGAACGTTAGCTGGATGAACACTGGAAGGACTGGGATGGGCAGCTGGAACCTACGGACACAGCGAGTCCTGACTGAGGCGTCACAGGGAAACATCCCAAAAAGTCCAAGGTTATCCCACGTATCCCAAGAGTCCAAGATTGTATCTACAGGTACAAAATGCCTTGGTTTTTTTTTTTTGTTGGTTTTGTTTTGCTTTTAGGAAACCTTCAGAGCTGGCCAACTGCAAGCACGATGGGGCCCAGCATGTCCTAATCTGAGGTTGGTCAATGCCTCTCCTACTTCTCACTCTGGTTGTTTTTAGGGTTTAGGAGTTCCACCTTTTGAAAGAGATCATCTTTGGTAGATGTTCATTTCCCTCATCTGTCTTGGAAATCAAGTGCAGTTACAAAAAAAAAAAAAAGTTTCTTTTTGTTACTTAAATTAACCAAAAAAATATAAAGTGTCCCAGGCTGAATTTACCTAAAGTTCAGCGACTTCTCCTTATCAGAGTTAGATTATTATTTTTTTTCCATCCTGGAAATGGAGAGCTATTTTTCCTTCCAATTCCTAC